TATTAAAAATCCTTAGTCACAATTTTTTTTATAAGCATTTAAAGTTCAAAAATTGACAAAATATGGAAAAATCACGAAAATTAGCAAATTATTTTGAGTTAAGAATTCGTAAAAATTTTTCTTTTTAAATCTAAGATTTGAAAATGAAACACAAGATTCCTTATAAGATTATCTACCTTTATCAATAAAAAAATCTCTACCGGACAGTCAAATTAAATTTTTATGAGCGTTTGAAATTCAAATTTTTACAACATTGGATTTTCACTCGATTTCTCATGTAGCGATTTCCTTATTTTGTTGTAATTCAAAAACGAATAACTGTAGATACATGAAAATTTCACTGAATGTTTATATTAGCATTTCCTATACACCATACAATTTTGAAAAGATTTTGACTCTTTTTGAGCTGTTTATGGACATTTACAGCTTTCAATTTTTTTTAGTTTTTTTTCTATAAATATCAATAAAGTTTTATCTGTTGGGCCAAAAAGTGTAAAAATTTAATACAAGGCTCCTGATATATTGTTACAATATCAGTTGAAAAATATTAAAAATACATAGGCACGATTTTTTTTTATAAGCATTTAAAGTTGGAATTTTGACAAAATTTATCAAAATCTCAAAAATTATCAATCGTTGGAATTAAAAAATTATAAAATGTTCAGTTTTTATAACTAAGAGTTGAAAATTTAAAACAGATATTCTCTTAAATAATTCATACTGTAACCAAAAAATCTAAAAAATATATAAACACACTTATTTTTTACAGACATTTTAATTTCAAATTTAGACAAAATTTCATATTTAAACCAAGAATTACGATTTTAGTTATTTTGTTGTGATTGAATAATATTATTCGTGGGTACTTGAAACTTCTAAAGTGTACTATTATATATCTATGACAGTATCACGGTTTTTGTTGATGTATAACGCGTTATAACTGTTATAAGTATCTAATGGATATTGTGATATGATTAATTTGGAATTTATTATAGTTCATTTTTTTGTTTAATACCATAGATATGTATATAATATGTCTTATACATAGACTGACATACCGTCACCGCTCAGAATCGTTTTTCTTATACAATGATATTATATCATTGAATTCAAATTTAATACCATCCATTATACAGTGACCCACTTGTAACCTACAGTACAGCAGAGCGACACCCACTTGCCCACCTTTTTTTTAATAATTGCATACTACATACTTACCTACCTACACCATATTAGTACCTGTTAGGTGTAATATTATAATATTATAATTTAATATTTTTTATTTAGACTACGGTTTGTTTTATGTTGTACTCAAATACTCAACAATCAAATAACATTAATGTAAAATTGTATGGCAGATGCGCTTACTATGTGGTCGATTAAATATTAATTATTATATAACTACCACTGAATAATATTCTGTGTACCTAACTTTTAGTAACTACTGACTGATATATTAATCGACTATCAGATGTTATTATTTATGAATTTAATACATTAAAGTATCTTAGTAGGTAACTACAACCTACTCTACCTATCAAATATTAAATCAGTATATTTTTTATGATAATATTTTTCATATAATTAGACAGTTGGCCGATGGCATCGAGTGAAGAATTGTCGATTAGCATTTAGCAGGAAAGAAATAGAATAATAAACCACGAAAAGACATTAGACAGTAGACACATTAGTATGAACGTTGAAAATCGAAAAATGATGATGTATTACAATATAGTCACGTATAAAGCTGGCCGGTGATAATCAATACTCATTAGTCATTATAGTCACTACTCACTATTATACTCACTCGTTTCACATTGCAGCTTACTCTGCAACCAGTTGTATATTTTATTTTGTTTTATCAATGTATTGTGTATACGGGTTAAACCCGTTTAATACACGAGTACGATGTACAATTAAAGTTTACAATATAAATATTACATTACACATAATTTAACTTAAATTAATTAAATTACTTTTACAAATTAAATTAGGGTCCACATTAGCTTTCAACATCACCCGCTTTAGAGATGCATCACGAATTGCCCATATAATTGGTGGTGATACTGGTGGCACGTGAAACATACAAATGAGCAGTGGACCGAAATGAATACTATAGCAGACTAGCAGAGGTACCTTAAAATATATTATCTGCAATACAAGGACAGATGACTCAATTTTAACATTCAACACCATGTCAAATACCCGCAGTCTGCCTTTGCTCTACTGCGGTAGATAACTGTGGATCGGCCAAAGAAGATAAACCGGCAAGCATACTAGAAACTGGGCCAAAATCATGTGGCGCGAAAGGAAATTCAGTTTTAAATAGATAACCAGATGCGGCTTGTAAGCACCTTCTAATTTGGAATGGGTGGGTGGGTGGTCACTGGTCAGTGGGTCAGAGTTCAGTAGTTTGGAAAAATGAAACTTATTAGAATTTAATAGTAATAGTGAAGCGAGAACAATTTTTTTAGGGTAGGTGGGGGGTGGTTTAAATTTATCTGCCCCGGTAAGATGTAATTGTTCCAACCGCCTCTGTAAATAACTATCATGTCACAAAAACTTTCGCTGAACTCTTTCAAGGTTCAAGCTGCCTCGAATTACTAGAAATATGGGAATATTAATATTACCTAATAGAACAAGAGCACAAAAAAACTCTTTATCGGACATATATCTACTTAGCAGCACTGATGATTGAGGATTGAGGATCAAAATCAAGAATTTATTAATACAGAACATCTTAAAATCATTAACGTTCAAACCATGGTCAAAATATGATAGAAACAAAAAGGTATACTGATAATTGGCTTTTTGAAACAAAACGGGAGTGTTTATAACGTAAACCTGATGATATTTGCCACTAGGTAGAACTAGACACTATAGTTAACGCACATTTTCAACGTATTATTAATTATTATGTTTAATTTTGTCATTTGAAGACAACTCTGCACAACGCCAATTTGATTTAATATTTATATATGTAACATAAACTTTATAAGACTGTATTTAAATTAAAAATAGCTATTGTATTAAATTTAAAATGATTGTAAACTAAAATTAAATACCTACCATGTTTAAATAGAAACAAAAGCATTTTGTCATTTTCACAAACGTAACGTAACAAATAACAATATCTATATGATTGTTAAGACTAATTATAAATCAATATAAAGTCGGTTACGTAGTAGATACCTATACTAATATCATAATTTATACAGTGCCCATGGCCAGTGGTGCCCACAGGTTTTCCATGAACCAGTGCAGCTATACATTTAGCCCCCCCCCCCAAAAAAAAAATTAATCGAAAATTGATACTGACAAGTGACAACCATGATCTTTCATCAAATTTAAAATTCTCAACATTAACTTAATCTAAACAATTTTATATAATGCATATTATATTCCATATTCACAGCCCTAGTACACTAGAGCAGGGGTCTCCAAACTACGGCCCGCGGGCCGGATACGGCCCTCGAACAAGTTTTAACCGGCCCGTGGCCCGCATAGGACGCATAAGTAAATATAGATAAAACAATTATTTAAAAAATGTATTTATATTATATTATATTTATACCTATTTATTTTTATTTAAGTATATTGTAAAGTAAACAATATTCTATACAAAAATATAAAGTAAACATATTATTTATATAGGCACCTATATTATCATAAAGTTAAAAATTATATGTGTTAATAAACTTTTGGCCCGCTAAGAGCATTTGATTTTTTTTGTGGCCCTTGAATAAAAAAGTTTGGAGACCCCTGCACTAGAGCAAAGATAACAATTATTAGTTATTACGAATTATAATTATTGGAAATATACATGATTCAATTTTCAGTTGTAATTCTAAATAATATCGGATATCAATATCATTCTAAATCTATGTTTTAACTACAAAAAATAAAAATAGAAAAAAAGTAAATAAATAATTAAAATACAATAATGTAATGAGTTGTTCATTTATATTTTATATAGTGCTTGAAATATTCTGTTTAACGTATATGACCACCATGTCAATGATCAGACATGCTACATAGTTACTTTAAGTCTTTAACCTAACTCAAAACAAACTTTTAAAAAATGATCTCAGAGGGGAGGGGAGATTTTTTCGTTAGAGACATCCCGTCAAAAATACTTTCTGCGATAGGCCTATTTACTGAACCGATAGGTCTGTGTGACGACGGCCGATGTGGAGATGTGTGATGAGTTGGGCCTTTGTTTTGCTATATTAATTATTATATCTATAATATATTTAAATTCTTTCCTCCCTCAATTTTCTGAGCATTTTACTATACAGAACGGTAAAAATAATAACATATTATCTTGTTCATCGCCGATATATTTCAAATTTCGCGGGCTCCGACGCTGAACGCATCCAAAGACATTCATGTTTAAATTATCAATAACGTTTACACTGCTCCGCCCCCCGCCCACCGTCCAATAAACAGCTGCCTGCGCAACAATACACAAAAAATTTTCCGAGTGATTGTCGAATGTTGATTTGTGTGCGTAATAGCTTGAAAACCTGTGTCGATTGTCGAAAGTTTCAATAGTTCTACTCTACTTGGGTTGTCAAAATTTTCGGATTACATTGTATGATACCTTTTTATCTATACGGTGAGGATTATCGATAGACTTACGTGTGTTGGGAAAGCGAAACAAATAAACACATATTATTATTACTCGCATATAATATAATATATCATACAACATATACGTATATAATATAACAATTAAGTTTCTGAGGTAAGTACCGCAACAAAAGGTTATCATATTAAATTATTATTTGGAGGACATGAACGCCAGTCCTTCCTGTTCAGAATCCGTTTTATTAAGGTATTCAATTCTTCCGAAAAAAACCATAATTTATAATATTACATATTACGTTTTGTTTTTTGATAATCTATTTACGTCGATCAGCTTTTCACTAACCTACTTTAATGCAAAACTCAGTAGACGTTGGGCTTTATCGTTTTTTTTTCATCCAGCAGGTTTTGCCATGTCTGTTCTGAATCATATGTGTGATGATCAGCCCGAGTGTCCATTGTGCATGGAAGCGTTTGAGGTGGATGACTTGAACTTCTTCCCGTGTACATGTGGCTACCAGATATGTCGCTTTTGCTGGCATCGTATTCGTACCGATGAGAATGGCTTGTGTCCAGCATGCCGCAAACCGTATCCTGAGGATCCAGCTGATTTCAAGCCGCTCAGTCGAGAGGAAGTAGCTAAATTAAAGGCAGAGAAACGACAAAAACATCAACAAAAAAAGAACAAGATCACAGAGGATAGAAAAGTGTTAAATAACATGCGAGTACTGCAAAAAAACTTAGTGTTCGTAGTTGGTCTGCCTAATCGGATATCAGAAGCTGAAGTAAATATCCAAGCATTTATTTCTGCTCTATATTATGTTCCTACAGTTTATTTAAATTACTATTATTGATAAATATTAATAACTTTCATCGTTTATCATAAAATATATTAAATTAATTTATTAGAATGCATGTATTTAACTATTATTTCTTAAAACACAAAAAAAAAATTAACCTTATTGTGTAACAATAATCTCGGGAATCAAAGTAAATAATAATATATATTTAAGTATTTAAAATTAACACATACATGTATGATAACATTGTTTTGTTGATTATTATTATCAAGGTCTAAACTTCTAAACCATTTAAACACATTTAACACATTTAAAACTGTAATATAATTTACGTCAAAACCCAAAAACTAAGGAATTCATTTTACTGACATAGATAAATAACTTTATATACCTATTACTCATAGAAGTGTCTAAAAAAATAATGATAAAAATTAAAAACATTTATGATAATACAAAATTCATATAAAAAAGTTAGTACAGTACTGTTGTAGTAATAAACATTTTTTGAGTATCGATGAATAACAATAAAATTAATCAATTTTTCTCAATTATATAAGCTGACAATTTTCAATATTTTATTCTGGATTCAAGGTTGGGTATTTTAAAAATTTTGTGTAACATTTTTTCATTGTTTTTTACTTTAAAGTTATAGATTTATTTTACACTTCAGATTTTGAAAAATATGTTATAATGATATCAAACGCAAAAGATGCATGTGCATTTCGATCCAAACATTTAGGTACCCTATATTTTATATATTTCCTTACAACAAATTAATATCTAGGTATATTAATTGTTTTTCTAATCAGCTGTGTTGTTCATAATCAGTGCTTAATAAATCAACAGGCAATTATGGTTATTTTATCACCTATGTTTATACAATCTGTAAATATACAACAACAAACCATTTATTATACAAAGTAAAGTATTGTTAAACATATTAAACTTATTTAAAAATGATTTAAGAAAATTTGGGTGTGCTTTGATAGGTACACTAACATTTAGATACATGAACTAGGGCCACAATTTGGTTCATGCAGTTGGCCCCAATTTATTTTAAACAGGCCCTATATTAGGTAGAAGTTATACATGGTGTAACAGAATTATCCGACAAATGAAATAACTTTTGTTATAATCAATATTAAAAAAAAAAATATATATATATAATTGGAATAGTAATTGAGGCATTTAGCAACTATTAAATTAAATATTGGTTTCTCCATTGAAATTAGTAGCCAGAAAATTAAATTTTATGTTCTATTAAAATCTAAATCGACATTATTTCCAATTAACTGGTCTAGTACAAAACGATGCATAATATTTCTTTCAAAACAATAATTATTTATTATAAATCATTTTTTTTTTTATATTGAAATATATTTATATAAAAGAATTAATTATATATTTTAGTAGAACAAAATAATTATATAAAAGTAACATCATATAATTTATCGATAGCATAATCAATAAGAAATTTGACAAGTTAAAAATATTCAATTAATATATTTTTTTATTATTACTTTGTTAAAATGTACAGTTAGTTATTATTTTTAATTATTTATAGAAGTATTTTAAATGTTCCATAGAATAATTTGTATGCTATTGTAACTAGACATCTTATTATTAAGATATTTAAAATTTATATTAATAATAAAGATAAAGTTATATATACGAATCTAATAATGACATTGCATGCATTTTAATTTATGATTCATAAAAAAAAATAAAGATTTCTTTTAACAAATATTATAAATTACAAATACCAAAATAAGTTCAACTTGATCAATGTGTAGTTTGTGTATACAAATTTGACTATATTTTAAAATATTGTGAAACTTTAGACGCTCAAGAAACATGAATATTTTGGAAAATTTGGGAAAATATTAAAAGTTGTTATAAATCAAAGTACTTCGTATATTGGCACACAGGTAAAATATAATTATAGCAGTTGTCTTAATTTTTTTCTCATATTTATTACATAAATATAATTATAATCTCAAATGTATTTTTAATTCTTAGGGTCCAAGTGCAAGTGCTTATGTAACATACTCAAGATGCGAAGATGCGCTTAGGGCTATACTTGCTGTCAACAATGTCATTATAGATAATAGAGTATTAAAAGCATCTTTGGGTACAACAAAATATTGTTCAAATTTTATGAAAAATCAACCTTGTCCGAAAACTGATTGCATGTATTTACACGAAATGGGTAAATTGATAATTATTAAATTATTAATTTTACTTATAAATTGGAAAATATATATTTACAGGAGAACCAGAAGCAAGTTTTACAAAAGATGAAATGCAGCAGGGTAAACACCAAGAATATGAAAAGAAATTATATGAGCAATACAATGTTGTGCTAAGGTACATATATTATTATTATTATTATTATTCACAATTAGTAATTTTTTTTTTTTTCATAGTAGGAGACCAGAAAATTCTCCTCCAATTCAAATTACTTCAGGTAATAATGGTGTAATTGAAAATTTGTCACAAAATAATAAGGAATCTTGGCCTTCTCTCAATAATGGTACATCACGCAATGATTCTCCAGGTAAAATATCTATTAACGTGTATTAGTAGCCACAACTTTAAAATACGGCTTGTATACTTATTAATCAAATTTAATTGTATTTAGTTGAAGATGATAGATTATATGAAGTTGAATTTAATTTAACAAATCACAATGCACACTCTGATAAAGCTTTAGAAAAAGGGGAATCTCAAAATGTTAAAATCAATGGTCATAAAAACAAAAAGAAATCTAGTTCACCAGAAAATAGGTTTGTAGTTCATTAATTTTTCTATGGTTTTAAAATAATATTAACTTTACTAATAAATACCATGATATATTTTTCAGGAAAGGTAAGGTGAAAACTCCAAGTTCTATACCTTCAGCCGAAGAAGAACAATTAAGTACATTAGATGGTGAATGTACTGAAAATAAAAGAAATTTGATTAAAGAAATTTGGAATAATGAACCATCTCTTAGCAATAACCAATTAGAAAATGATACCCAAAGCGGTATGTATATTTGAATTTATTACACTTGTCACTTAATATTCAGTTGATATAACTTAAATCAGTTATAAAAAACTATCTAGAAGACCATTTTATTTATTTTTTATTATTATATCATAAGCGTCGTGTAGACAGGTACTCGTGCATCCATTGAAATTATTTTGGGTCCTCAGCATCCCATACAAATCGGGATCAATTTTTGTTAATAATTAATGATTTTTTTTTGTTGGTTGGTGCACCCCCTGGCCCCAAAATATTTACATCATTAAAATTCTACTACATATCCAAATATTAAAAATAAACTATTGAATAATTATAAGCTATAGCCATTACCCTATTAGCCAATATAGAGGTAGCTGATTCAATATGCTACCCCTATTTATTTTTGAGTGTGCATCATTGGTAGTATAGTACTGCAAATGTAAGCGGCCATATTACTATTGTTAAAAGTGGATGGTTAAAGCTATTGCCATTAAATTTCTATCGCCCTATTTGACAAAAAATGTTGTAACTTATTTCTTACTTTATTTACACTCCAATCAATGAAAGGATTTTTTTTATGATCACTCTTTAAGTAGGTGTGTATTATTTCATATCCAATACCCTGTATCAAATTATTTACTATACTTTAGCATAGGCAATTTTTGTATTTTTCACATGTCTTTATAGTATGTACTTATAAAAGATACCAGTTAGAAATATAAAAAATTCAAAATATAAGTTTAAGCTAGATGTATGCAATTTTTACCTCTGTTTCATCTTACACTCTGAACTCATGAGAAATGACCTTAGCATAACCATTTTTACCCAATTGTTTTTAACTTTGTATAATTTGATTTGCTTTTAGATATAAATGGTATGCCTAATACAGTGCAACTAAAACATTTTTTGTCTTAACCATCAATTTGAATTTATATTACATCGTTTTATATTATAAGTCTAACCGTAGAAAGATTAGACTATTTTTACCCAAAAATAAATCTTTTCACCTAGAGCTCCCAATGTGTTTTAATATCTTGGCGCCTGTTATTATTATTAATTACGAAAACCAGAAAAATTATTTGCCAAATATTTTATCAATTCAGAGCCGTATTTAGACTGTTGACTCCTCAGTTAAACATAATTTTGATGACCCACTCTCTCCCACATCACTTTTTAAATTTGTTTCTTGAGCAAGAATATAAATTTTAAATCCTTTCAATATTTATTTACTGAAGTATAACAGAAACTAATAATTGTATAGATTTATTTTTAAAACACTATTGTTTTAATGTTAACCTAAATCCTAATAATAGGACTATGCCCCTCCCCCTATAATTCTAAATTTAGGTTTCTTTGTATATTATCAGGTTTTTTTCTATCGTTTTCAACTACTTCAAATATTACTCTAATAATGTTTATTTTGTATTATGATTATAATTATTTAGAATCATTATTTGAAAATCCACAAAAGCCAGCTTCAATATTCGAACAAGATAACAATAATTCATTTTTCTCTTCAAATTTCTCTAAATTAACAAATGGTAAAACCAGTCCTGGTAAGATCATATTTTATTATAATTGTTTATTTACCTCAATGATATTAATTTTTTGTATCTATTATGTACAGTATTAAACAGTGAACCCGATTGGAGTCCTCCAGTCAGTGCAATTTTACCTCCAATACCAGATGTCCTACCACAAGTACAAACATCTGAAGATTGGCAAGCAGCATTTGGTTTCTCAAATAATAGTAATAATTCTCGGAATAATTATCCATCTTCGGATTTAAATAGAACAATGGTAAATATCTAATATGTTGATATTATGTATAATTTATATATCTCATTAATAGAGTAGGGATTTATATGCATTCGCATATTTGTTCTGGTCGATTGTATGATATGCTAAGTGTGCACAACATTTGTTTCATGGCATAACAATTTAAAAAATGAAACATTTTTAGTGCACATTTTGCAATTACCCATTTTTTCCTATTTTAAAGGCTTATTTTACAATTTTAGTTGCATATTTCATATTTTAGTGCATAATTCAATGTTTTATTAGACATTTTTGTAATATATATTGTTGTTGTAACATAAGAAAAAAATATTATACTTTTATTGTTTTGATTAATCTCAAAATAAATCAATAGATATAAACAGTTTTCCCGATGATGCCCTTAGATCAGTGGTTCCCAATATTTTTTACACTATGGACCACTTAGAGAACTTTCCTTGCGTCACGGACCACCTCAATTTTAGACCTTATTTTTCTTATAAACAAGAATCATTTTAGAATTTAGAGTTTATAAATAAACCAAAAACAATGAAATTCCTTATAGCTTATAATAATGTTTATAATTGATCAATTTTGAGTAAAAGTTTAAAACTATTAACAGTTTAACTCAAATTACTACTATAAATAAATGCACATCATATTATTATATATTTTATTATAATGTCTCACGGACCACCATCCAATGTCCCGCGGATCATAGGTTTGGAACCACTGCCTTAGATCAACAATCGGTGAGATAAAAATGCATACCAAAATATGAAAATATCGATTTTGACCATTAACCATTGACATTATTTCAGAGAAAAAATTAAGAAATGTATTTATAGTAGGGTTATATAATTATAAATATATTGTTTTAACTAAATCTTAAAAAAACAGAATTTTTTGGTAATTTTTTATTTATAAATTTTATTTTTCATGCATATTTCAAAATTCTTGTGCATATATTTATGCATATTTGGTTGGTTTTTAATGCATATAAATCCGCACCCTACTAATTAAGTTAATAAAAAAAAATGTAATAACATTTTTTATGTGTTTCAGTTAAATTTACCATCAGACGATGATATATTTGATTCAGTTTCGGTTACACAACGTGCACTTTCAGAATATATGGAACAACAAAATCATATTAATATGTACCAGTCTAGACTTCAAAATTCCGGGTATGAACAAAATTGAATGATTCACTACTTAAAAATGACTGACTTTATAACCTAATCTTATAAATTTATATGTTTAACAATATTATCAATTAATTTTTTTTCAAGGTTTCCTTATTGCACAAAGTTAATGGATAATCTTCATATAAATAATACAGCTCCCACAAGAACATGTTTACCGCCTCCCGGATTTTCATCGGCTCCTAATCAAGTCAATTCCTATGGTATCAGTATTCCTCGTAACACTGGTAATTTTCAATTTTATATATTTCACATTTTCAAAATTAATTATTTAATAATAACAATACAATAATACCAAACAATGCTTTTCTCTCTGATAATCCTAGATTTAAGAAATACAATGTACAAACTAGCCACCCTGAAAATGACACTCCCTCAAGTAATGCTCGGACATATGCGCAGGCTACCTCTGGCCAACGCACTGCACATCCTTCTCCTTCCTCTGAATCTAACATTAATAATGCAATGACTCTTTTTCTAGAGGAATTTAAATCTTTGATAAATCCACTTATAGCACTACTTACTAAAGTAATCTCCTCGTTACTGGATAAAAAAAATGACTAATACCGCTACAAATAAATCTCTACTTGTTTTATTATTCAATGCTAATGGACTAAAAAATCATATATCTGAACTTCAATCAGTACTAAATAATAGACGCATCGATATTGCTTTAATTACAGAAACGCACTTTACCTCTTACTCACACGTACATATACCCAGTTACAGGCTCCATAAAGCCAATCATCCCGACAATACAGCTCATGGTGGTGTCGCGATTTTTGTTAAATATTCAATCCTATATCAATCTCTTCCAAGCGTCTGCGAAGATATTTTCCAATCTTGTGCTATTCAAATTTATGTTAATAGTGTTCCAATCACAGTTGCAGCAATTTATTCACCTCCAAAGCATAATGTTTCCTACGAGAACTTTTCAAATTACTTCAACACAATAAACAATAACTTCATCATAGGTGGGGATTATAACGCGAAGCATCAGAGTTGGGGCTGTCGAGTGAACAACCCACGAGGAAATGTTCTCTCAAATTTTGTAAATACAAGAAAATTCAAGGTGCTTGCGCCTCCAGGACCCACCTATTGGCCTTCGTCCCGACACAAAAATCCAGACATATTAGATATTTTTATAACAAAAACCCCTTCAAATGTGCACTATGTCATCGACAATATTCTAGACTTAAATTCTGATCACTCGTCGGTTATTCTCACACTTAACGACTATCCTGCAATTAATACTGAACCATTAAAATTATTTCACACCACTACTGATCGTTACAAATTCCATGACCTGGTAAACCAGAATCTTCAACTAAATGTCAGATTGAAATCCAATGACGACATAGACGCAGCTGTAAATAACCTAACGAATGTTATTCAATCAGCAGCCTGGGCGGCCAACACAGCTAAAAATGTACATAAAACCAACTCTAATTCGCTGCCGATTAATATCCGTATCCTAATATCAGAAAAGAGAAGAGCTAGAGCCCTCTATCAACGTACTCGCTTACCCTCCCACAAACAAACATACAATAACTTAGGCAATCATCTTAAAAAAGTCCTAGCAAAAATCAAAAATATTAACTACGAAAATTTCCTGAGAAAATTATCTACAAATAACGGTAGCCTTTGGAAAGCGTCCAAACAAGCTTTACATTTGAAAATACCCACTCCACCTATTAAAAAATCTGATGGGAGTTTCACTGTGTCGGACACAGAGAAAGCAGAACTTTTCAAAAATCACCTCTTTAATGTTTTTCAACCTCACCAAGATATTTTACCTGTCAACTCTGACACAATTCTCAGTGGTCTTGATATGCCTTTACCTCTATCTTCCCAAATTAAACATTTTTCACCGAGCGATATTAAATTTGCAATCCAAAAGCACACTCTTAGGAAGTCTCCGGGTTTTGACCTAATAACGGCTGAAGTAGCCAGATGCCTTCCTAAACGCGCAATCATATTTCTAACTCATATATATAATGCCGTACTCAGATTGTCTTACTTCCCACTTTTATGGAAGTTCTCCAAAATCATACTTTTCCCAAAACCAAACAAGCCCCCTGACCTGGTAATGTCTATGAGAAAACCTAATTATAACCTCAATTTTTAAGTGTCATCACTGGGTGGCTGCTTTTATCAAGCTTTTCATGTTATTTTGTTTGTTTATATTTTAGCTAATACTCTTGTTGTACCCTTGAGGTACAGATTGTGTATTTAATATTAATAAAGAAAAAAAAAAAAAAAATAATAACAATACAAATTTGCATCACCAAAGTACTATGAAAAATGATAAATAGGGCTGGGAATGTAATAGTTATGTCCTAACAATTGAAAATAATGAATCTATAAAATACACTTCATTTTTTTTTATTTTAAATAAGTTTTAAATCATAAAATAAATAAATAATTTATTTATTTAAATTAATTACATTTAATAAAAAGTTTTACAGGACTGCATAACTTTAAATCTTTTTATGGACTTTTATTTGAAAATAAAATAAAATGTTATTATCATTAATTTTCTATTGCCCTCTTAAACTTGATTTTTACATTGTACGATCCCGTTTGAAAAATTACAATTAATAATATTCGATCATATGTAATCTTTGTTAGTTATTAGCAAGTTAAACGGTTACTTTTTTAAACAAAACCTTTGAAATACTATTTTAAAATTTTTAAAACCAAATATTAGTGCTGAATGCTCTAAAAACCCTAAGATGCTTAAAATATTACCTTAAGGGAAATCACCCTCGATTGTGTCCCTTTTTCTAACACACTTGTGGGAGTGGGACATAGAATTTTTAGACGTGTTCTTTACCAGTGGCGTGGCGTGGGTATTAAAAAGATGTAAGCAGTAAAATTTTTTTTTCAAAAGTGATTAGAATATAGGTACTATACCTAAATACCTAATTATAAATTATATATAAAAAAATGTTATCCTTTTAAAATTTTTAATAATTTAAAAAATATACTAGTTGTACAAATCAAATTCGAGAAAATAAAGAAATTGAAGTATAAATACTTCAAAAGTCTATTAGGCGAATGGCAGTGACAGTGTACGTAAAAACGACTACAGTCTACAACGCGTCGGGCTACGTACATGTCGCTCCTTGTTTCTCGTGTAAGCAAAATCAAATGTGCTTACAAACGCTAGTTAAATACGTGACCCCTACTATGGCATTATAGACTATTCGAAAACAAGAGTTGCGCGTAAGCAATTTCAGAATGTGTTACACTGTATATCGTATTATGATTATGCAGTTAACATAATACAGAGTGGATTAAAGATAGACCTACAATCGATGATTTTCTTAAAATAGTTGGTAATCAGTAGACAGCGTACGACACAAATAAACAATAACAAAAACCCAGGGCCGTCCCTAGGGCAGGGCGAGCGGGGCCCTCGCCCTGGGCCCCGCGCCTTCACCAGTTGGACAGGCCCCGCTTTTGTAGATACCATAAAAAAGCCAAGTTAATGAGGAGGAAAAATTATTATTTATATATTTTTATATCCTTAATTGCTGTAATTTTTACTACCTATACCTACGGCTATACCTACTTATATTAATTGACATCAGGCGTCAAATAAATGTATTGCATTTAAAAAGAGTTAATATGATTAAAATTCAATTTTCAAAGTTGAAAATGATAAAAATCTTCAAAGCGCTCTGTTCCCCCCAAAAAACAACAACTTAGCTATAATATTTATAGAAAAAAAATGCTTAGATTCTGAGCAGAGCGAAAAAATGTATTGATTTTACAATGATGTGTGTTTTTTTTCTGTTTTGTATGGCGCTTTTTGGGTAGTAAAAGTGCTCCGATTTTCTAGATCAGCATCTTTACTGATAGAAAAGTGAAACTAGTTGGTATTTTTGGGAAGTCAAAATTAAAAATTTCTAGAAGTTTTAGAAAGCGTTGAGAAAAACAAAAAATAGGTGACTTATACAAAACCAATTTTTGAAAAATCGTTTTTTATTTTTTTGGTGTATCTCAAAAATTCATAACTGTAGAACCTTGAAACTTTCAACAAATATTTATATTAGAATTTTCCATAAAACATTTTCTCAATATTTTGACTTTTTTTGAGCTAGTTATAGGCTTGAGCCCTTGAGAAATTTTTCCATTTTTCTAAATTTTTTTAAAATTATCCTCGATAAAATCTTTTTCATTTAGTAAAAAATCTTGAAAATGTAATGATAGGTTCCTTATAATTTTCATTAATGGAAGTTTTAAAAATACATAGGCTCAATTATTTGTTATATGCTTATAAAGTTCCAATTTTGACAAAATTCATAAAAGTTTTTTTTTTCATACCTAACTTGAGACATTTTAATAGAAGGTTTCCAACAAGTTTTTGTAATTCTATCAAACTAAAAAAGTTCCCCAGGAAGCCACGTTTTCGATCTTTGTTAATTTTTTTTTAGCTATTAAATTTGATTATTTTTACAAGTGTGCTAGGCTGATACAATGTCTCCGCTCAGAATATTTTTTCGTTTACAATAATTTATTAATGTAATTTAAATATAACACATCCATTACAACGACATGCTTGACACCCACTGTACAGCAGAGCGGTACCCACTTGTCCACCTTTTTTCATATTGTATTAGGTGCCTACTATATTTATAGACTTATTAATTTATCAATATTATTATATTAAGTATAAATATTATACGTGTTTTGTTATTAATTAATTTACTTATTCATTATTGTAAATACAATAGGTACTATATTTTTAAGTATATTTGCGCGTAGCCCCCTTATACCTAGGTAGGTATATATCATAATTCATAATATTAAATATTTAAATAAATGCAACTGACGATAATGACATTTTAGGCCCCACAAATTTACTCTGCCCCGGGCCCCGCAAATCGTCCGGACGGCTCTGCAAAAACCACTACCAGCTATAACTTAAATATTTTATAAATAAAATTAAAATTTTAAAAATCATTTATTATGTACCTATTAGTCGTGATTGATCAAATTCATTTTTTCTTCCATTTAAAGTGTAAGCAGTGCTTACAGTACTTACATGCACGCTACGCCCCTGTTCTTTACCAAACATATCAATTGATCTAATGAAGCGATAAGAATTTTGAAAACAAATTTTAATTTGTCGTCAAGTTTACTTGAAATTGACTTTCTCACATTTATGATATCATCCCCCAAATTTCTAAAAATGCTATGTTAGAAAAAAAAGAATTAAAAAATTGTAGTTTTTCAATTTTTAGAGAAATTACAATCTAAAATGTGGGAAAGTCGATTTTAAGTAGACTTGACGACAAATTTAAATCTGTTTTCAAAATTCTTATGGCTTCATTAGATCAATTGGTATGTATGGCAAAGAACACGTCTAAAATCCTGTCACACGTGTGTTGGACAAAGACAGAAAATCACTGTATAAAATCCCCTTAAGACTAATAATTATTAAAAAATTAAAAATAAAAAGTTCTTATTCTGATTAAAATATATCTGAAATGTATATTATGTTTTAAAACAAACATCACGTAGATGGGATTGGAAAACAATGCAAATTGCATCTAAGTCCCAGCCAAAACTATATTAATTAATTAGTATAATAATTTTTCATTTGAGTGTAGTTTATGTACTGAGTAGATATTATTAAAATAATTAGTGTTAATGAAAAATAAGAGATTTATAAATAATGTTTAGTTAATAAAATATGTCCGAAACAATTAAAAATGATTTTAAACTTCCACAGTTTAATATTTCACTTTGTATCTTTTATACAGGTAACACTAATAAATTGCCACAAAATAATCCATTTGCATTACAACAACAATTACGTCAATCATCTTCTCATAGTGAGTGTCAACAAAGTATAAACTAAACGTGTAATATAAATATGTTTTATATTAATATAAATGTATACTATTCAGATTTGGATTGGTCATCAATAGATCCAGCAATAGTTACAGCAACTCCACATTGCAATTTATATACAACACCGCCGCCACCACCAGGTTTTAATATGAGACAAGCGTTTGACTCAAATCTATGGTTGTTCAACAACCTCATATAAATGTGCCTTTACCTCCATGTGATACTTGCGCAAAAAGAAATAGTAATGGCAGACAATTTTGGTGCGTGTTGAATTATTATTAATTGTAATAACAAAATATGATAATATATAATATGATCATTTATGAACTACATTATTTTTTTTTTTCAGATTATGAAAACCTAACAAAATCCGCGCAATATATTATATTAATTTATTGAATTGTTTACAATTCAAGAAAATAAAAATTGCCAAACATTTATTATTAATACATTTATTATCTTAATTATTATTCTTATATATTATATAAATTGATTATCATAAAAATATTTAGAGCTGCTTTCAACATCATTTTACTATTATTTCATTTAGTTAATAGTTCTTTAAACAACGCCTAATCAATTATTAACTCTGTTGAATTTCTGGAGGTAAATACGTACTGTGCAAATGGAATATTAAAACAATTTATTAAATTCTTACATTGATTACTGTTTTATTTGCTCAAAACTTGTTATTGAACTGAGTAAATGACAAATAAATGAAATGGGAAAGTCTACTCTCGACTTTTAATACATCATTATTTTAGTATAATTTTTGTATTGTTATTTTTTTTATAAAGCCAACCGATTAGAACATTATTTTTAATTCTCATTTGATAATCATGCATTTTCTATTTCATTTTAAATAATAACTACTACAATTGACTCATTTGTTTTCATAATTAATGGGGGTATAAATATGGGTAATAATATTTATTTTACACAATAAAAATTTGAGTTGTGATACATTGTTTTTAAAATTCTACCTTGTGAATTTAACCACGAAAACAGATGACCCATATTAAGGTAAAACTGTACAACGGGAGGCTGAGAATAAAATTAAAAATAAAAGCTCTCAAACCAAAATAAGATGTACTTTAAGCAGTAGTCTTGGCCAAAGCCCAATAGCTAATAGCCTAATAGCTTACATGATATATGAAAAAAGTTATCAAAGCTGTCGAGGAATAAAAATAAAAATATAATTACTTCATAAATTTACCTTACTATAATTTGTCTAATTTTCACAATATTAAACAATCGAAAATAATTTTACCTATGTTCTAATTTATAACTTATGTAGCTATATGTGTAAGCATGAAATATATCCTCAATATTAACAATCTTTTTAAAAACAATTTTTAAGAAAAATTATTAACAGTGCCCACCAAATAACAATTAAAACAACTATGGAAACCTCTTCATTGAGTTAGTCACTAATGAATATGTTAAATTATCTGTTAATAATTTGCAAATATTTGTGATTTTGTCAAAACATTCTAGCTTAAAATGCTTTAAAAAAAAAAAATTCATGCCACTGTATTTTTGATATTTTTAAGGTACTATTAGAACAACTTATGTGGGATTTTATATTAAATTTTCAAGCTTTTGATGAAGCATAAATAATTTATCAACATTCAAAGAGAAAGTGGAAAACCTAATGCCTTTATTAACATCAATGAATCTGAATTCTTCCTTTATATTTTTGATATTTTTCTAATGCTATGAAAACAACTTACGAGGAACCTTCTAGTTTCAAGCTTTTTTACTCACAAACATTTTATCTTACATGAAGAAAAAAACATTTTAAAATATAACACTTCATTAAAGTTCCAAAATTAAATTTATATCATGTCTAGAATATGATTTTAACTATGAACATTTGGTCAAAATTAATTACGCATGAACAGTGAAAAAAAAAATGTTTCCTGATTATTAAGTACTGTGAATTATCTAATTTATGACCTTTCCCCTACAAAGTCCCAACTTTATTTGATATTGATTTACTATCAGAAAGCAGAAACCACTAAAAGTTGAAGATTAATAAAATAATAAAAAAGATATTGTATAACCCATGCATTCATCGCTCCTCATAGATTCTATATAATACAAATAATAGACCATCAATTTTCCAAACCAATTTGGAGACAAGAGTTTGTTGTATAATCTTTAGTAGTTTTGATTTAGCTCGGTTGTATGTTAAATATTGTTTATTCTGTAATTATTGGTTTTAAAACTTAATATCTGTGTGTACAGTAAAGTATGGAGACGTTATAATTAAAAAGGAAGACACTTTTTCCAATAATTGTATAATGTAGAGACCACTCACCAACGTGCTGTCCTCCAATATTTATTGGAGCTCAAAATCAAAAATTATATTTAATTAAGGTTTGGTATTTATAGAAGTTAAAATCTATGTGATAAACATGCAAGAAAATGTATTAAATATGGAATGAAAAAGTTTTCAAAATCTATAAACTAATTAATTATTAGTCAATAGATAGGTATGTATCATAAGTATATAACAATATACTGTATACTAGCCGTACAACCTGACTTCGTCCGCGAAAAAATGAACAAATATCAACTATATAGATTAACTCAGTTCACTGGTAAATTAGCATTGGTGTATCTTGCTTTATGAATCTGTCTATGATAGTTTTTGAAAATTGTATATAATCTCGTGACACTAACATAAATCTAACTGTAAGGCACTGCGGAAAAATGCAAAATGCAAACCTAGGAGAATACCACAGGCCACAGATATGTGAGAATATTAACTAAAGTAAATTAAATAAAATCTATGTTATACAGATTTAAGTGTAACGTGGGATTGTTAATGCTCAGTTGAGCCACTTTTGATTGAATTAGTTTAAAGAAAGTTGGATTTTGAAATTTGTATTATACGACCATATTATGTCACGTCTACGAGATGTCTGCAAGTATAACTTCTGTGATATGTGTATTTTGAAACATTTATTTTATTTTAAGTCTTAACAGCTGTATAAAATACTTTTTTTTTATTATTTATTAATACGGCTTCAACATTAAAGTCATTAGCCGGAAACAAAACATGTTTACAAGTTATTTACACTCATCATAATATTTAAATAAAGGAAATACAGTATAGTATAGTACAAGTATATGGTGATAATGGTATAGGTAACAATAATATATAACTATTTAGATTCTATTATACAGATTGGTTATTTTAAGGAATGTTATTAAATAGTTAAAATTGTCTATACTTAAAATATCTCTTCATGTTAGATATGGAAAATTTTTCTTTGTTCGATTAGATTAGGGCATTCTAGGAGTAGGTGTGTTATGGAAATCGGGCATTGTTGCAGAGTTCGCAGTTTGGTCTCGGCTCTTCTCTCATTAAGTGAACGTGTGTGAGGTTTTTATGTCCAATTTTTTATCCGTGTCCATATCACTTGTTGTCTTCTCGTACTTGAGGGAGGATTCAAGTTAGGTGACAAAAAAGGTTTTATTTGGTATAACTTGTTGTTCAGTTCCTGGTCCCAGTCGTTGGTGAATCTTTTTGCTACTTTTTAGGGCGTTTCGGGCAGTGTCCTTGAAAGATGAGAGGTCTATTCTGGGATATTGATGTCAGTGGCGGCTTCTTTAGCTGCTACATCAGCTTTTTAATTTCCACCTAACCAGGAAACATACTTTTTGTTTTCAAATAATCAAATGTTAGATGTTCATTCAAGAACTGTGGGTGTTATTAATGTCAAAGGATTAAGGAACATACAGTGATTCAAAATAAACAATAATAATTTATCCTGTTTGTCATTTTCACAATTGAAATAAATACATTAATGAAATAATTGGTTGGACAAAAATAATAATACGTCATTATGGAGTTATCTATGACCAAGTTATTGCAAAAAGTTTTCTTATAGCGGAAAATTCTGTTTGCTACTTTGCACAAATCTTTAGAAAAAAATAGGTACCTACCTAAGGAAATGCCTACCTTTGCATCATTGAGCATCAAATACATAAGGTATTAAAAGAAATACTTTAAAAAAATATTTAAAATAGTCTTATCTCATTGATATATAATGGATTTACTCTTCAGTCTTCAATAAATTGAGAGCCTAAACAAAAATATCACTTCCGTGCCTTATTAATTATTACACAATAAATTATTAAGTGTTAAAACATAATTAATTAATTGTTATCCTTAAACAAAATATGTATGCTTCTCAAGCATAACAATTGTTAAGGCTGGCTGGTATAGACTTACTACTTAACGTCTAGTACTATTTCTAATGAAAAACTTTATACCTTAAAAATGACTTAACACGTTCACTGCGTATCATATTTTTGTATAGTTGTCGTGACGCTGATAAAATTCTAGTTTTAAAAAAAAATTTCCTAAAAATTGAAAAATTAAAATATCAGTGTACAGTTGGCACTTGATTATGAAACAATGCTTATAGAAGACGCTGACAAAAAACCAAAAGTTTAATCGTAACTCTGACCAAATTATAGTCCATTAAATAACAAGATAAATGGCGCCAATTGGCGTCATTCAGCACATGCGAACTATGTACAATGACGCCAATTGGCGTTTTACGCAGCGAACATGTGAAATTAACCATATTTTTTTATAGAAATTAAATTATATGGTTTTTTTATGCTACATATTTTATTTATTTATTTAAAATGAAAAAAAAAATGAGAATACAATTTTGCATCAATTACAAACTCTAAATATTAAACTAAATTTAAAATATGATAGGTTATAGGAATACCTACCTATTGTTGTTATTGAAATAAAATGTAAATAGTTTACCAGCTAAAAAACATTATTTTGGTTTGAAAGTTGGGGACAAGGTTTAATTTGTACCTTGCGTTCATAGACGTCAAACACGTGAATTTGCTCTGGGACTCAATCACCTATTGAAATTATATATTTCTAATTTTAAAACATTTCCTATTTATGCACTCAGAATAAATATATATAAAATATTATATTATTTAAAGTATAGAAAAATATGCACCAGTATACATATAAATTACCTAATATCAATGTTCATAATATCAAAAATACTGAAGTTCCCCAAAATACTTTAATCTCGTAAATTATAATAATGTAAAAATTTAAATTGTAAGTGTAAATCTTACAATATATATGCACATAGTTTAAATAATTTCTTTTTGAATGCCTATTTTCTCTTGGGCATCCATTGATAA